TATATCACTATCACTGTTTTTGTTGTGATTGGTTAGAAAGAAGAAGAAGCAGAAGAAAAAGAAGGAAAAAAAGTAATAATAATAAAAAAAAAAACGAAGGAACGTCTTTTATTGTCTCCTCCAGAAATCTGTAGTCAAATCAGCAAAAAACTCTGTATCGATCAAAAACAGTTTAGTTTTTTTTTTTTTTTTTTTTTTTTACCTCTTAACTTCAGCCCATCAACAGATACAGAGGACAACAGAAAAAATTCTCTCTCTCTCTCTGTGTGTGCGTGTGTATCTGTTTTCTTTGGTTTATGTTTCGTTGGAACAGAGATACACAATGGTACATTGGTGAAACAGAAATTTTTATGGGACAACACTGTTTTTTTTTTTTCTTTCTGATTCCCGAGAAAACGAACAATGGGCAACGATAGCGAACACAACGACAACAGCGACAACAACAACGACAACGATAAATGACGTCGACGACGACGACAATGATGATGGTGGCAGTAGTAATGATAATGATGTCTGTAAAAAGTGTTGTTTTAACAACTATACAGCATTACCCCGATGCATTCCGATGCCCTATGTCTGTCTCTGTTCTGTTGTTAATTTCGACTACACTTCAGTAACAATGATTATGGTGATGACGAGAATGACAGCAACAGCAACAGCAACAGCAACAGCAACAGCAACAGCAACAACAACAACAACAACAACAACAACCAGTAACGATACCAATGTTGAAGATCTTGCCTATTGTTACTGTGTTATTACTGCTACTGCTACTTTCATATTACAGTTGTGTTGTTATGTGGTTTATAGAACAAGCCATATGGATTGCTGCCGGATTATTGCTGAACAAAACTGTTGGCAAGCCATTTATTATGCATAAATATATCTGAATGGACGGATGCCTAATGTTGACGGCTGTTAACAGTCATTACTAAGATTGTTCTTTCTTTTTTTTTTTTTTTTCTTTTGCTTTTTCTTGATAATTTTTCTGAATAATTATTTCTTAATGATTAATATATTATCTATTTGTCTTTTTGCTAGATAGCAAATTCAGTTTTTTTAGTGACTTATAATGAGATCAAAGATCATAGTCGATTACTAAACGATTTATTTAACTAACAAACAAAATGAATATTTAGCAGGTTTTGTTTTATCCTTTTGCTTTTTTTGCATTTAATAAATTTTACTGGGTAAAAATTCTTTTTGATTTATGTAAATTTTTTTTTCTGTACAAAGTTTCTGTTTGCTTGTCGATTATTATTGCTGTGTTGTTGTTGTTGTTGTTGCTGTTGGTTCAGAGTATCGGCTAAACAGATGTCTCAAAATGACGATACTGTTTCGTTGTGAAGAGACGAAAGCAAAAAAAAAAAAAAAGTAGGGAAATAGCTTTTTAAATTGCTGATTATCAGTCAGATATTCTTCGGTCCTTTGTTTCTAATCCTTAAAAAATTATTATTTTTTTTTTGATTTTGATTTTTTATTTTTGCACAGTTATGATGGCATAATGTATTGGAATGATAAAAGTAGTTTTTTCTTCTGTTTTCTAGCCCCTTTGACACGTTGTTCTTCGTTTTCTGAAAACTTGTTACAGAATTTAGTTGCCGTACACAAAAGACGACGAAGAGAAACAAAAAAGTTACATACCATTGATACTTACTAAGTTTTCATTTTTTTTTTAATAAAAAACGCATATTATATTTATTGTTGCAGATAAGTTGATAAACTTTTCAGAAGAGAAAAATGAAAAGACAAAAAGAAAAAAGCGAAACAACAACAACAACAACCTTTATTCTGTTCTAACAAAATGTTCAACATTTGATTCATTGTTGAAAGTCACAGTGAAGTGTTATAGAATCAAAAATTTTTTTGCCGTACTTAGTTCAGTCGTTTGAATGTCATTTTGTTTTCGTTGATTTTTTATTTTCTTCCAGTATGGCTAATTTTTGTCAATCTTTTTTTTTTTTCCCCTTGCAGATGTGATAAGTGATACAATGTCGGTATTGCTAAGCGACATCTCATCTTGCACCAACAGTTTCAGTCGTATTTTGTTTTCTCCGAATACCGAATGGAGTTTAAATGCCGAAGTTACAGGTGTAAATAAAGCAGGATCTGCATTTACACAACATACAGAATATCAAATAACTGTGACGGTAAAAGAACTTTTTTTTTTTTTTTTTGTATTTCTCACTTATAGTCCTCTGCTCAACTGATCTATATGATATTTATTTTTTGGTCGTAACTTAACGTTGATAGAGTTCTACACATGTTAGTAATAACACGTATTTGAAGGCAATTCCACGTAACAGCCTAGAATTAGACAATAGAATATTTTCGCTGAATGCACGTTACAGAGAACTGAACCGGCTTTGGAATCAGTTGTCCAAAACTCATAAACAAGTATCATACTGTTATTTATTTTATTTTAGCGAATTTTGTTGCTTTTGATTCTTCTAATACGTTATGTGATTAAGACTATGTAAGAAACACTTGTGTTTAGCTCTATCTACGTGGAGTGTTTCCGTCGTTTGCACCCAGTAAGCTATTTGGCAGTATGGATCCTGCTGTGATAACTGAACGTGTTGATGCAACAACTCGACTTCTCAATTTCGCATTTGGCAGCGAAGTGTTACGAAAAGCAATATCTCTTCATCGGTTCTTTGAGGTTTTCCTTCCCTATCGTTGATGAAGATAGTGCAGGAATGAAATTGTCGATTAGCTTCAGTTTTGGTCATTTTATTGCACCTTTAGTTCTTCCAAATGCAAAATCTTTTTTAGGTTACTATATTCAATCATTTGAAATGTTTGTCTAATATTTTGTTAATTTTAATTATTTACTATGCAACAGAATGTCATCGAAGTAGAAGTCGTCAGTGGTGGGGCGCAACCACTCACTTCAACTTTTCCCTCTAAAACATCAGCTTCAAGGTATAGTTCTCACTACTGCCGACCATCTTTCAGTTTGAATTATTATCCTCTATTATTTTAAGTTCTCTTGTATTTTGTTTCTGATCCTAACCTATACTAATTACCGAACAATCTTTTGCTGGATTGTTCCGGTCTGAAGCCTGCAAAATACTCCAGGAAGTTTGAGAATTGATCCAATTACGTCTTGAAAATGTTATCAAAACTTTAGCGAAGACGTGCTTTCGGATGCGTCTGATGTCTGTGTTGAATCTGTTGAAAGGGAGGGAAGTATTCAAGTGGCCGAGCCTGCCGAAATGGAGGGTGTGAACAGTTCTTCTTTAAGTGATGCTGCTCTTGAAGTAAAGTCTTTTTTAAAGTTTTTTAACTTGTTTTGATATTGATCTTGAATAATTTTTAGCAAGAGAAGGAGCCTGTAAAATGACGTTGTTTTGTGTTCAAGAAACAGTGGTGCTCTTGCTCGTTTTTGCCAGATTCCTGCTTTCATCACCTGTTTGACCAAATCAATGTTCATTGAAAAATGAGTGTTAACAGTTCGTTTTTTAGTATCTGTTTTGTCCTCTGTGTTGTATACTGTTTATCTGCGTAAGTCGTTCGAATGTTGTTTTTTATCCACTTATTCCACACATACGATGACCAAGCTGACATTACCTAAATATATCTAATTTGGTTTTTTAAGCTGCTTTAAAAAAAAAACCTACACGTATACCTGTGTTAAAGCTTTCACTTACGATGTTTTCTTTCATTTGTTACTAAAGAGGTATTATTAATGAAATGCCCATTGTAACCTCTTAACCACAAGACTCAAAGTTCTCCTCTGGTTTCCGCAACTTATGGATTTGAGCCTTTATAAGGTTTTAAAGTTTTTGGGGGTTCTTCTGTATGTAATATTCACTTTATTTTCTAAGTTTTCGAGCTTCAACAGTTAGCTTACTTGTACTGGCTTTAGTTTCTCTTTCGTTTCTTTTCGTCTTTACTCATTTTATTCCAGAAGAATGAGCAGTAACCTGAGTTTCTAACTTTCTTGACCGATATTTTGTAAAGTATCAAAGCACCCTGGACACTGGTTTGTCCGGAATGCATTATGCGAGAAAATTGGCTTTCACAGCTCATTGCTGTACTGATGTCGCCAGTCTTTTGATTTCCTTTTGAAAGTGATTTAGTATTTCAAGCTCATTTTTGTTTAATAAGTTTTCACTGTTAACATAGCTGATTAGCTTGGAAATTCAGTATTAAACACTTATGTCCTCTATGTCGCCACTTTAGTTATCTCGCCGCTCTATAATCGCGCTGTCAAAGCATGTTAGTATTCTCATATGAACAACAAGCGCATATTGCTCGTTTTACATAGTGCTTTGAATCTTGGGAATTTTTCTACTCATCGTAAGATGTTTGATGGAAGAAGTGATATTTCATTCACCACCTGGTGTTGCGTTTTTCCGCAGGTCATTTAAAAGGGCTACGTTACTGCTTTTTGGTGTACCAGTTTTTATTTACAGGATGGGGCTCAAGTCAAGTGGCATAAATGCATCATGAATACTTCGGAGTCCTCTTCTAGTCTCACCGCTCGCAGTAGCTCATCCTGTGTACTTTTCGATTTTCCTGACACAGATTTCCAAGTAAGTCTTTTGTTACAGCTTTATTTTTTAGACTAGCTGTTTTGTTTGTGTGAGGAGCTGAGGTTATTTTTTTAGTTTTTCTGAACCGTTTCGTGAGTTTCTTTTAGCCAAAAGATGTCTCAGCGGGTGTGGTGGGCCAGTCGTCATCTCGCGTTTCCATCCGAGGTAGTCGTTCTTCGGATACCTTGTCTGAACTTGACAAGTCACGATCATTTGTTAAAGGAGTCTTGCCAAGAATCGCCCATCTTGCAGGTTATCATGCAGATCACGAGCCAGAAACTCCTGAAGGATTTTCATCTAATTTATCTGTAAGATTATAAATTTATTTAGATTAATTCTTTGTACAATTACTGTAGGGTGAAATTGATCAAACATTTCAAACCATTTTGTAATTTGTGTTTTGATTGGTCTGGCATACCTTTTGCTTCTATTTGGCGCTGAACGCTACTCTTGTTTTCAAGTAGTTTAATTAGTTTTTGGTGAAATTAAACTATTGTGACATCTATTTTTTTAACAATGAAATTGCAATAGATTTTTTATTTTAAAAATTTTATTCTTTGGTTTAAATTTTAAGTAAATTTCTAGCAGAGATATTTAGATTCTCGCGTAGCTAAATTCTACGTTAGCTTTCTAAGTTAAATATTTTCTTGACCATTTGAAGGAACTGTTTTTTTTACATGAAATACGATAAATTTTTCAACACTAGTACTGGTATTTTGTTTTTAATGCACTGCATGAATTTTTCTAGCCTTTCCTAGTTCTGAAATATCGATAAAATAAGGTGATTAGGAATCGTGGTTCGCTAATATTTTGATGTGTCTTACGTTGCTAAAACCTGTTCTGAAGAAGATTTCTTTTGGAAAATAAAACGCGCAACCAACCGGTTTTCTCTCATTTCGCGCTAGTCTGAAGTTGAAATTTTTTAGGCTTCAAGACCTTCAACCTCTGGATCATTTTATGAAAGGACAGCAATAACAGGTGTGAAATCAATTACTTAATTGTAAATGGTCTCCCAATTCTTCTTTTTAAATAACCTTTTTTTTTTGTATTTTTGGTTTTTTTTTCTCTGAACAGTTTTTGTGATTGCTCTTTTACGTGCGGTTAATTTATGTGGGCGGGGCTTCTAAAGTTTTATTTAGCGTCCAGTTTTGTTTGCTCTCCTGCAAATTTGATTTTGTTTCTTAGAAGGGGAATGTTTGATCTACGGCGGTGGATTTTTCACGGTAAGCATTTAGAGCCATAATCTGATTGGCGACAAGATTATTTCAGTTTTTCACCTCTCCTGTAGCTTTACTTTTTTTGAATAAGGGGCTTTTGAGATGTTTACAGGTAGTTTTTTAACTCTTAAAGTCATGCTACAGTAAGCTGGGGTTCGTTTGTTGTAAATTTCCAAAAATTTGTGTCTGGAATTCCGGTTTGTTTTTCTTAAACGCTTAACTTGAATAGTGAGCATACTTTTGGTGGAACTTTTTAGGAAGGTTACTGAGATCACACTATTTGCCTGGAATTATCAGTTAAAATTTTTGAAGCTTTTTATGCCATAACAAAACAGCATTTGAAGTATAATGAATCATTTGTCAAGGCTTATTTTATTGTCATTTAAGGCCTTCAGTCTCCATCATCTAGTGCTCATTCGGCGTCTAATGGACTTTCACTGTTTCCATCTTTGCCACAACCTGAGGCTGTAGGTTCTCCTACCGTAAATAACGATTATTTGACTGTGGCTGCCCATTTTGTGTCAGCTGCACAAAAAGCTGAATCGGAAAACGCTTTTGAATTGGCTTTTCAGTGTTATAAAGGAGCAGTCAAAGTTCTTCTACAGGTCTGCACAATTTTTTGATGACTTTGCCGAATCATTTAGGTCGTCTTTTGAATCAGTACATCTTTTGCCGTTTAGCTTATTTTTTGGCCTTAGCCACTTTCAAACAGGAACTGAATTGTACTTTTGCCCTTTAAATTACATTTTAGTTTTCCTCGCTTTATTAGAAGTATTACCTTATTACTCTTTAGGGCGTTCAGTTTGAACGTGATTTGCCGAGAAGAAATAGGGTAAGGAAGAAAACAGCAAAATATTTATTGAAAGCTGAGAAACTTTACCGGTCTTACCTTTCCTTTGATGGTTCTGCTTTCGAAGCTGCTTCATGGCTTTCAAGTGCTATTCAGGTCTGAGACCTAAAAATTTGATGAGTTCTAGGATATTTAGCTTTTGCGTCGCAAAGTTTATTGAGGAGAAATAAATCGTGGGTATATCTGAATAACTGATTTCACAACCTAATTTTGTAACTTCAAAGGATTGTTTTTATTTTCATTTGTTAATATAGCTGTTTACAGGATCCAAGTTTGCTAGCTTTTCAAAGTTCAAATGGGATTTTGAAGTCATATTGCATTATTGGTGCACTGCCATCTTTCCAGGCTCAGAAACGGGTCTATTTAGTTAAAAGTCGCACAAATGGCAAGGATTTTATGTGCATCATTTAAATCAAAAATCAATTATCAGTGCTTTTAAATGTTGCTTTTTTGTCTATTAAATATGACTGTAAGTTAATGGTGACAACTGAATTTGTCAATAGCAATATTAAAATTGTAGAAATAAACAAACTAAAAATAGGAGGTTTTGTTTTTTTAGTTTACTACCTCTGAAGTTTCTTTGGCTTTGGGCAGATACTTGTTTACTGTGTTTGAAAGTTTCAGATGATGAGCCAAAACTTGTTATAAAGTTACTGGAAAAATGTAGTACAAACAATTCTGCCTTAGATGGATTGAAGAGTATTATTCCAGTGGATGTTCCACATATGGTGCAATTGCACAAGTTCTTTGATACTGATTCGTGCATAATTCTTCTCTTGGAGCACATGAAGCACGGACGATTATGGGATTTTTTGGTAAATAATTTATCTTTCTTATTTTCTATTTAAGCTTGTTTTGAATTGGTTTTTGAGTGTAGTCAGAGTCTGAATAATTACTAACTCCATCAATTTTAGGGAGATTATTTTATGGAAAAAAGGGAACTGATAAATACTTTTTTGTTTTCTGGTTTGAACAATGATAATACTTCAGAAGTAGAAAAGTTCTGGTTTGACAGGCCATCGCCATCTGATTCTTCTATCTTGGTAAGTTGTGCCTTCTTCATTAAAGTTGTTGCGCTTATTTTTACCAGCAATGTTGTATTCTTAATAAATAATTGCAGATTTTAGAACTGTCCTCTCAAGTTTTGCTCAGACCGAGTTTAACGTTCATGATTATCAAAAAATAGCTCATATTTTTCCTTATAGGTAATGCGGCAAAACGGTCTTCCCAACTCGGGTGAGGATAGATCTTCAAGTAAGGATGTTGCACGGAAGTTGGTGCAGAGGAGGAATACTTATGAAGGTTATTATTCTGTTTTATGAAATATTTGTTTTTTTTTTGGATGGGTTCATACGTTGTAGTTGAGGCTCTAATTTAAGTGTTTGTAACTATTCTTTTTTTGTTACTGTTTCAAATTTTGAAAAGTAAGAAAGTTTTGATTGTTGAAGAATTATTGCAGAGGTTTTTTATAAATTAAATTTTATTGCTATAACAATGATCTTTCGTTCGGGGCATTTGGGCGTTGAAGCGGGTTTGGAGAGCTTTAATTCTCATTGTAGATTGAAAAATATTTTGTTAATGGTTTAAAAATTAACTTTGCGATTTGGTCAAGTAGTTAAAGTAAACATTTTTTTTTTTTAAAAATGATTTGTTTTTTATTTTGAATACTTCAACTTCTTCAATTTTACAAGTTTTGGCCAGAAAGGTTTAGATTAAAATGTCAAATTTTTTAACTATATTGTATTACCCCTTTTTTTGAATTTTTTGCAGGTAAGCATGTTTGTTTTTCTGTTGGAGACGCAGATGAACCAACGGATTTGGCTGATGCAGGGGACGAAAGTCCTGTAAAGGTAATTAATATTTGGTTCATATCTCCTCTTTTTTTTCTCACTGTTTCAGTCTGCCTCGGTGCACGCTAAAATTTCCTTTCTTTCAAACTCTGATCACTGTTGTTACGATTTTTCTGGGATAGATAGTTTTGCATTCTTTCTCATTAATTGCTTGCATTTAGTTTTAACAGGGATTTTATTGAAAAACGAGGCGGCAGTTGGGCTTTTAACCTCCAAGGAAATCCTGTTCTTAGAGAAATTTATGAGTTATTAGTCTTTAAAAAACTATCGTAGTTTTAAAGCGTTGGTGGGAAAAGAAGAATTCAAAAATTATATCATTTTATTTTTTTACAGTTCTCAATCAGGTTTGAGAAATTTTTTTCTCTGTTTTAGGGGAGTATTTTGTTCTTATTTCACACGTTCGTTGCGACGTGAAAGGTATAAATGAAAGTTTTTATTAAGTAAGAAACGTTGTCGAGATTATTAGCTGATAATTCTGGATTTTCTTCTTTAGTGTGGTGTCAATGAGCCTTCTACCGCTTCTGAAAGTGTTGGCGGTTTGGCCTCAGAAGAGCAGTCTTCATCCTCAATTAAAAGTAACATACAAATGGATTTACAGTCTGAATCTGGCAGAGACGCAGCATCAGCGATTGATGCTGTTAAGGTTTCAGAAGGGCAAGAAGAAGCCCCAGCACCAATTAACCTTTCGAACTTATCATCATGTGATATTGATGGTACTTTGCCTCCTTTTGTTTTGAACTTCAGCAGTGGTTGTAAGTAGTGGTTTTACGGATTATATGATTTAATTTGCTCTCAATAAAAAATTTGGGTTTCTTGTATGGACCTAAAATTATCAAATGATTTAGGAAAATGTGATACAGGAGAGTTGTGTTTCCATGAAGCTTTAGCGAAAGCTAAGCTAACTCTGAAAGAAGGTCAGAAATGGAGCAGAATATGTCAGTTACCCGAGTCTCTAATTGCTTTTTGGATATCGCAGCTCACTAGTGCAGTTTACATATTGCATTCTCAGGGGATTGTTATTGGGTATGATTTATAAATTTCTATGCTGTCTTCAACTTATAATGTTTGTATACTGATATACTGATATACTTTTTAAGCAAAGCCTTCTTGGTTAATTTCTTCACGATTCGTTCCTCAACACTTAAATTTTTAACCACTATTGTGTACTGGTTTGGAAGCAGAAACCTTCATTTATCTTGTCGATCTTTTAAACTCATTTCTCATACTCTATAATCACATGTTTCGTTTAGTCCAGAAAGTTCTTATAGAGATTTGAGGCCGGATAACTTGCTCATAGATGAAAATGCAAGTTTGAAATTAACATTCTGTAGCCAATGGCAGTGTGTCGCGAGAAATTTGGACGAATTGGCAGTCTCTGAGTTATATGCAGCTCCTGGTAACCTCCTAAATTCTAGTTTAAATTTTAATTTAGATTAAGACATGGAAGAAGTTTTAGATTTTTGTAACCCAATCTTCTGACCTTTCCATTCACTCGCATTCTTGTCATCACTTTTCACTTAACTGTTAATGTCACTTTCAAGCTGTTTTTGCTGATGTTACTTTTTAGAAATATTGAATATTTTTGGGGGAGTAACAGAAGCTGCTGACAGATGGTCTATTGGAGCTATTTTGTTTGAACTACTTTGCGGTCAAAAATTGAGCGAGGTTTGTCTTCACGGATTTCATACCACTGGAGAGTTGCCTGTTCCGGATTGCGTAGCAATAAGTTTTGCAGCGAGGGATTTACTGTCAAGGTGAAGTACACACTATTTGTAGTTTCTGTGAAGGAATAAGTAGTTGCCATAATAAGTTTTTCGGTTCTAGGCTTCTTGCAGAAGATCCTGCAGAAAGAATGTCTGATGACGAGATCCGAGAACACCCGTTTTTTGAAGGGATTGTTTGGCCCAGTTAGACTGATGGACTTTCAACTCTCAGCATTAAAGGTCTTGCCTTTGATGGATCCGAAGAACATATTTAACTTGTGCACGGAGAAACCCAAAGTTCTTTTCTTTTACGGTGAATGTATATCTTTCGCTTGTCGCGATACTGTACTGCGGGATATAAAACAATGCTTTTGCTTGATAGGTATTGGAACTAATGGCTTGGTGTTGTTTCTCTCATCCTTTTCAAGTTTATCGAGTCGAAGCCGTGTAAAGCTTTAAATTTTTGTAAATCAGGAGTTTTTGTAAAATTCTATACAGTTACCTTCGTGAAATTGTACGGGTTTTTTTGCGTGCGCTGTGGTCGTCTTTATTTTTTAGTAATTGTATTCAGTTTTACGCAGGGACTTGATGCTACTTTCCTAACTGATTTCTTGGTAATATTTAAGAACCGATTGTAAAGATTCGAAAAGATTTATATGAAATATGGAAGCTTAGTCAGCATAAAATTATGTAAATAAAGCCCGGTTAATTTGTTATCAAATGATTGATTCATCCTTTCTGCAGAGCAGTGTTCATAGTTGTTACTTCTGGTCAGATTCCAAAATGTATCTCTAGATTTGCAAAGATGCTTTTTTTGTAAAACTTATTGTCTGTTTGTGTGAAAATGCCAAGCGCCTTATGCTCTATATCGTTTCCATTAAATTCGTTGTTCGTTGTTCACTTTTCAGTTGCCTTGTGGTGCTGATGGGAACTAGATGGATTGCCGTTTTAGCATATGTATAGTGTTATTTTCGAATCAGAATTATTCATATTGTCGTGTAAACGCTGTGCCGTCTTGATGTTACGCAAGATTTTATGTAGTAATCTTATTGCTTTAAAGGTCATTTTTCTGTAGGATCTCTTCTATTTACGTTGACTAGTTGTATCTACCATAGCAATTACGACTCTCATGCTAGAGGGTATTCATCTTGGCCTGCGGTGTAGAAAGAACGGATTGAAGACTAGTAAAGTGGGCTTTGGGAACCAAGGTAGTAGGTAAGGGGATAGTGTGGCACAGTCATATTTTTGGCTCGTGCCTTTTGAAAATTGTAGCGGATAACGCGTAGTGCTGAATTTATTGGTTATTTTTCGGATTTTCTGTGTATTGTTTTTGGGGTAACAGGTGCCATTGTTTTGGAGAGGCGTCTGAAGCCAATGTTAGAAGATGCAGCGGGCACCGGGGGTGAGACGAGTTGACCAGGTGACTAGCTCTGGTCGTAAAAACTGGTTCCTAATGCAACAGCATTTTGGTACTGCTTTTAAGAATTTAAAGCCTAGTGTTTCATGGTATACGACGTTCATCGTGAATTTTGCTAGGGAAATGTGGGCTTAATCTTATTTTTCTCTTAAACTTCGTATGGAGTGTCTTTTTTATTTTTCCTTTCAATTCCCTAACAGACATAGGGTCCACCAGAAAATCCCTAATAATGGTATTTGCATTCGTCGGTTGTAAGCTATAGGGGGAACACTGTAATCGTTCAGTAAAATTCATTTCCTCGGGGAAATTTTATGAAATATATCAAAAGGAAAGAAATACGAAGCTATTGGTATTAATCAGTGTAGGTTGGAGAGAGGAAGTTGACTAGACAAGCAGTACCTCTTTATAGCGAATGTAAGGTGAAATCTGTAATTAGTTCCGTATGGTTTGTTCTGTCATCCCTAGAATCTAAGACACCAGAGGGCTGACCTGCACGAGTCAAGTCAGATAGAAGCACTAATATGAGGTGGAATATTTTTACTACATCTCTCTGTCGTTTTTGACAAGAAAAAACGCCTATATTTTTAAAGAAGTGCCAAATGAATCAATTAAAATTCTCATTGGAAGTAGAAGTAGTTTTGCTACCATTCTAAAAGCCAATATTTTATAACATTTTAATGAGTTTAGCATAAGGTGCTAGACCAGTTAATGTCGGGCTTTGCACTTGAAGTCGCTTGAAAAGTCCAATTAAAGTTGGTGAAGTGCTATGTGGAATGTTTAAGTTAAATTTTAATTCTGCGAAAATCAAAGTTTCTCTTGAAGTTACAATGATGAAGATTTATTAAACTTACGTGAACTAAACCTCCAAATGAATCACTGCAAATTTGAAAAAACATTTGCAAAAAATATGTATCGTACAATGTACAGGGCGTTGATAAACAGAATTTTCAGTTTTTTTCATTGTTTCAAACTCACAGCACCATAAAATATCGTTGGAGTCCACTGGAATACCAAAACAAATTTTTCAGTTTAGTCCCGCCCTAGGTATAGCAGTTTCTTTTTTACTGTAATTTTTTTTTTTATTTGTTACTGTTGGTAGACATTAATTTGCAACTGCTTAAGTCAGCAGTTCAGATCACTTCATCCATTTGAACTTCACTAAAGACAGAAGTGGGAAGGTGTGAAGATTTTACCAAGAAAAGACTTTTCAACCAATTCTTCTATATTATTTTCTTTGAGAAAAAAAAGTTCAAGATTTGTTTAAATGAACGAGAAAAAGTTTTATACTATACAAAATTTTACGCAATTTATCACCGATAAGATGTAGTACTGCAGGTTCGTTAAAATCAACAGTGGTTGTCTTAATTTCTTGTTGTTCAATATTCATCAAAAAATAAACAGAATTCACGAAGTCCATATCAGAACACTTTTTTGTTTGCCGAAAGCAACAGCATTACAGATTACAGTTGTTTGCTGCGATTTGTTGACCTGTTAATTGAATGAAAAAATTTAGCAACTAAAAAACCAAAGAACGTCTTCGAGTGTTATTCAAATGTTCAGCCACACCCGTTCTAACGTAAATATAAAAAAAAAACAATTTTTTATCTGATAGGTACGTTAGTGCGTAAACATAAGACAGTATTATGGAAACCTTTTCTTTTAGTTTTCATCAACACAAATATTTTGACTATATTTTTTAATGAAAATCTTTTCAACGTATTTTAACAGTTAACTGGTCGCCATCTTATCTCCTGTAATACACACTAAAAAAAAAAAGCTATATTTTCCATTTTCACGACTCTTTAGCTTTCAAAAGAAGCCATTTTTTTTTCTGCTACAAAAGTGAATTGCAAATTAATTGCAGTAAAAATTCTAGAACTTTCTTTTCGTCATTCTTTTACAGCTCCCATCAAAAGCTGGAAACCAATCTTTTAAAATAGCGGAACAAAAAAAAAATACAAAAACAGCTCATCTTTATTTCTCTCTCGTATGTAAATCATTAATGTTACTGCGGATGATAGAGAGACTATAAGCTTGGGTATGCAAAGGCGCTCGTGTGAAACGAAAGAATTGGACGACGTAGTATAAATTAATCAGCTAGAAAGCAGAACATATAACACTCCTGAAGGCTCTTAGTTCTTCTCAAGTCCCGATAAGGACATAATTTTTCACCCAAATTTGGTTTCTTAAGGTAGAGCAGGTCTCCTCCTACTATAAACAGCACTACTTCCTTCATGCAAAGGCTCTTCCGGTGAATAAACTTCCTCCACCATAACGTTAGCGAATTATTAGAAATATTACACCCTGTGTGCTACCGGAAAACCCCGTCCCCTTTCAGCATTCCCACACCGGAGCCAACAAAACGCTCTCTCTCAACCACTTTCCCTAAGCAAGTTTAAGCCCCAGTCACCTATCGCTAAGTCGTCAAAAAAGCTTACCGGAAAAGCCACAATTCTCTCCACTGCAAAAAAAACAGGTAATCAAAGAACTACGGAGATAGATGAACATCAGCGTCTCACAATTCCCAATCCGTAAAATGAGCTCAGGAACAACGTCATCTAGCGATAGCCTCGGCTATTTTCACTACTTTTCAATACCACAGCCTTCAATCATCATTGCTTCTTTACAATATCGAACCAACAACCCTACGCACACAACAATCTCCAAAACCCACTAAACCACCCATGCCGCACGTTCACTACCCGATAACATCCGATTTTGAAAATTGTCTAACATTATAAACACCGATGCTCCTTAAGCACCCAGCAGTACAAGTACACGGCCCAACTCCGTAGCCCCAAAGCTACAACCATGTGACCAACTAACACACTCCGACACTGCAGGATTTATATAGCCATCATTAAATCCCATAAAACAATGTAGAACGAGAAGCAAAAAAAAAAAAAAAAAAAAAAAAAAAAAAAAA